ATATATATTGTAATTTTCAGGCAAAATTCTGTCAGTCTGGTAATTTTAAGTTAATTTGTATTGTGCAAAAAAACTGCATGAGCTCTATTATTTTAAATCATTTTAATCATCTTTTTGATTATACGTTATATAAAAACAAAATCAAGTTTTAGGCGTTTTATCATTGTAATCACATTTTGACTTGTGGACATTCAAATTGTGAAGGTTGTTTGAAAATTTCAAGTTATGGCCTTTCTTGTGGCTAAAAATATTTAAACAATAAATATTACATGATTTGTAATAATACAGGACACCTAGACAAAATTCACAGAATCAATGCAACAAACATCAGCTTTCTGTTTGTAATCATTATTTGCATTCAAATGTCACATCCTGTCCTTTTTCTTGGTCATATTAAAGGCTTATGGATAATGTTCTTTGAGAAGTCCCAGAGTACAGCGAGAAAAGCTTCAYATTTTGTAAATAAATGATCCAAGTAATAAAACTATTCATTTATTWGATTCATTGGTACTATTTTTCTTTTTCAAATGTTTTCAGATTTATTTGTAATTCAAAACTGAACATAAACTCTGTCTTGTTGACCATTAATAACAAATATCTCAACRTCTTTCAGAGTGTAAATCAAGTTTAATGTGCTCATCTTTTTTTTAATCCTTTATTTATATTTTAATTATAGTGACAGCTACACCTGTTTTTAATCCTATTATACATATACTGTTCATTTTAAGTCACTTATTTACCTAACTTTACTAGGTAACTAACTAATTACTACTACTTACTATACAACTTTACTAACTAATCTAGGACTTACAAGTRAGATGTTGGCCCAAATTATAAACACATTTTTTAATTGCGTAAGATAACTTTGTAGTCCGGTTTAAATGTCATCATTTCTGAATGCTGGCTGCACTGGACCTCTTTCTGTCCCAGTACCTCTCACACAGACAAAAGGCCTTCAGCTGGTAGCAGATTTACAGTTTATTTTGAAACACAACTAACTAGAAGCAGGCACACAATGCAAAATTAGACAAATTATTCAGGTTTTGTAAATTACTCTGTTTTTGTAGTATTTTGGACCCAAGATTGATAGTGAAACTGCAAATTAGTTTAAATCACAACCCTACATATTGCTTAGTATAAACAGGTCATTGACAAATACAGTTTTGTTTGTCACTGTCAAAGTCTTTGTAAGTTGTAAGCAACATATGATTCTTACAACTATGATTTGTTTTTATACCACTGCCCTCTGTGTTTTAAATCATGATATCAGTACCTTTGCATTTCTCAATTCATCTCTTGTTTCTGCAGCATGTGGTGGAAGTGTTAAGCCTTTTGTCAGATGATGTGGAAACAGACGATGCTGGTCCTGGTGAAAACCTCAAGCTGAGACTTAAAGGCATTGAGGAGGAGGAGATCCTGCCTGGATTTATCTTGTGTAATGCTGAGAATCTCTGTCATTCAGGGCGCACCTTTGACGCCCAGGTCAGTCTACAATTGGGTTGAGTGATATCTTGTGTATTTGTACTGGAAATAATAACCTATGTGAATGTTTTTAAAGGGATCCACGATTAGTTGTAACATTAAACCTTATTTGATAAACATTTATTTTAACTGTAAAATAAAGATTGTAAAAATACTGTAGGCGTTTTAGTTTTGTATTTTTAAAAAATATATATTTTAACGGACGGAGCCATTTTATTTACAC